TCTCGGGCGCTTCAATAATTGCAGCATGTGGGCTTAGTAGTTGTAGCTCCCAGGCTCTAGAGCACAGGCTCAATTTTTGTGGCTTAGTTGCTCCGCAGACTGTGGTGTCGTCTTGGATCAGGGATGGAACCTGTGTCTCCTGCTTTTGCAGGCACATTCACTTCCACCGAGCCACCAGGGAAGCCTGAATGAAGATTTTATTGGTGACAAATCCATAACCATTTTCTCTTTCACTGTTGCCTCTGCTTCAATAGCTTCTTCCACCTTCCACTCCAGTAATTCTCTTATCTGTTGTTTAACCTATGCACTTAATTTTCTAACCTGAGAAACTGTATTCTTTGTGTTTTGGTTTCCAGTTGGTTCTTTTTCAAATTTTCCTGTTCTCTCCTCATGCTTTCTTGTCCTTTCATTAAAGTTTCTATATCTTCATTTTTTACTTTCCTTTAGGTAAAACATATGTCCAAATATATTCCCAAATAGACAAGTACTCATAATATTGCTTTAGTCATATGTGTACTTATAGGCACTAATTTGTAAAAAATTGTGAATTTTTTGTCTCACCAACACATTTTAAATAATATTTTTATTCAAGCATTTTACCTTTATCCGAATGTAACTATTTCTATCATTATAAAAGCTAGTTTCTGAATAAAAATGTAGCGTCCCAGAGCAGTTGAACAGCATTTGGGGATGTCGATAAAATGTAGAGGTGGAGCCTGAGAGTCTGCGTCTGCACCACACTCCCAGGTAGTGCTGGAGCTATCACCATGCATCATGCTTTTCATGTGCAGAGTTTTAGAGTCCATATTTTTACTTTTAAGTTGTTGTGAACACAGCATTTTGAAAATTCACATACAAGGCTCTCATCAGTTATTTCATCTTATGTCAAAGAACCCCATTTGTATGATAAAGATCATTTTTAAAAAGTTTACCTTGTTTGTATATATGTATTTCTGAATTGTATAACATATATCATGTAAATGAAAACAGGCTAATCGTCATGCTGCAGTTACAAACAATCCCACAAGATCAGTTGCCTTGAAACAGCTTATACCACAGCTTCCCCCACTGACCCGGGTCTGCTTAGGGCTCTGGTCTATGTCATCATCTCTTTGGAACATGGGTAGATTCAGTTCTCACCATTGCCAGAGGCCGGAGCAAGTGAAAGAGATAAAAGGAATTGTGTTCTGGTTCCTAAAGACCTTCTTCTAGAGGTGACTATGTCACTTTTCATGTTTATTGGTCAGAGGAAGTCATGTGGCTGTGAGTAGCTCCAACAGGCAGAAGTGTTGTCCCAGTATGAACTCACGTAGAGATCCAAAACATTTCTGAATAATCCTAATAACTGCTACACATACTTAGTTGCTTTTGAACATGACCATTGAAAGGCTTTCAATAAAATCCTATACTTGCATTTTAGGTTGTTTCATCTCCCCCTAATAATTACTGAATCTGTACTAAATTTTGGTTTTAATGTGCTTCAGATAAAAATTCTCGGGGGTGTCCTCTCTCAATATCAAAACTTGGCATTGATTAATTTGATTTGCTAGTCAATGGTTTCCACTTAAACTGCACACTGGAATCACCTGGGAAGCTTTTTGTTATCCCAGATCAGCCTCAGACCAATCAAACTGGAACCCTGAAGGCGGGACTCTGGCATCTATAGAGGATTTCAGTATGTATATAAAACTGAAGCCCTTTGTGTTAATCTATCTTCTCCAAAGAATGCTTTATTGTTCAAGATAAAGTAATTGAGAGATTGCCCCCAAAGAGAAACTCTATTAGGGCTTGAACAGGAGGTGAGCTGCTGTTTTCTGAGAGGGATTTTAGGGGTCAACATCTTGCCTTCTGTTATTGTCACTTCTCTATTGTTTGTTAAACCCAGGTATGAGGGTATGCATTTTCTTATTTGTTGCGTCTGATAGTCCTGTTTTTGTGTTTCCCTCTGTGATTGTAGTTTTTCCGTAGCAGTCAGTTGGCTGTTGAGAATCTGTGTGGCATGTGGAATTGAGTCTTCTGGGTAATTGTTACGTTTGCTAGTGCTAGGTCTAAGGAGTTTCACCATTTTGGACCATTTTCTGGACCTGTGTATTGATGTAAATTGTAAAGAAATAGAAATTAAAGTCTTTTATGTATGTACACATTACATGCAAAAATGGACACAGATACACATGCACTCATACACCTTTACACACACATACAATATTTGAATAGTAAGAAAAAAATCCCAAGGCTTTGGAGGCAGGGAGTGGCCCATAGAATGGGAGGGACTTGTCCAAGGCCTCACTGATAGAAAGTGAATGAAAATCTCAGTCTTCCCACATACTTCTGGCCTGATTTATCCTACATTTGTAAATGTGTGTGTGTGTGTGTGTGTGTGTGTGATGGAGTGTGTTCAGGATGGAGAGGCATGACTTAGCATTTGTTTAGAGATTGGGGGTCTTGCTCTACTTCTGTCCATTTTCTTTCCTGAAGTTTTTGACTGTGACCTTTCCTAGGCAACTCTTAATTGGATTTGTAGAAGCCAGAAAGTGCTGAGCACACATCAGAGTAGGGGTAACAGGGCCGTCTCCTAGCTCCCCAGAGCCACGGACTTGTTTGTGGATTGTGATCCACAATTCCCTCTAACCTGCACTTTCAGAAAGCAAACCAGCAATCTAAAAGTAATTGTTTCCTTCTGTGTGGATTTCTCATTCCAAAGACTGCCATGGCAAGTAGGAAGTTGGCTTTGAAAAGAGCAGAGGAACCTGGAATTAGACGACAGGCTTGCAGCGTGACCGTGGATGTGGTGGCTCTCCAGCCCGCATTTTCCAGCAAGAGTCCTGATTTCAAATATTTCATTCTGTTGGCTTTATAAACAATTCAAATGCCCTGGAAATTCCACCATGAACCATATTTTCTAAAATGTTTCTTAACTGATGAAAGCAGGACAGAAATCCTTTGTTAGACTCTGTTGCCCCAGTTTTGGTTTAGAAAATATATCACCATCTATGCAGAAAAGACTTTTTTTTTCTTCTTCTTTTTTAATGGTGGGGTTTAGAAAGGCAAACACAGTCCTATTTGGGACATACCAATTTAGAAAAAGCTGACCCAGTATCCCAGATCTCTGTGGAAATCCAGGCCTTCTTCCTCTTAGCTATTCATCCAAGTGTGTGTACAGACATCCAGCCAGTTCCCCCTCACAGTCTACTGGGCAGGGGGCATAACTGTGTCAGCCAATGATGACAGGGGCTCTGCCCTCAGAGACTTCACAGTCCATGAAGGGAGATGAAATATGGATACACACAGTGTTAAATACAAGTCAAAGGTGTGAGTGTATCAGAGGATATAGAATCACCCAACTGGGAAGATCTAGAAAGATTTTGATTCACTCCTCCTCACCAGATCCCACACAGCTCCTCACTGATAGAAAGTGAATGAAAATCTCAGTCTTCCCACATACTTCTGGCCTGATTTATCCTACATTTGTAAATGTGTGTGTGTGTGTGTGTGTGTGTGTGATGGAGTGTGTTCAGGATGGAGAGGCATGACTTAGCATTTGTTTAGAGATTGGGGGTCTTGCTCTACTTCTGTCCATTTTCTTTCCTGAAGTTTTTGACTGTGACCTTTCCTAGGCAACTCTTAATTGGATTTGTAGAAGCCAGAAAGTGCTGAGCACACATCAGAGTGGGGGTAACAGGGCCGTCTCCTAGCTCCCCAGAGCCACGGACTTGTTTGTGGATTGTGATCCACAATTCCCTCTAACCTGCACTTTCAGAAAGCAAACCAGCAATCTAAAAGTAATTGTTTCCTTCTGTGTGGATTTCTCATTCCAAAGACTGCCATGGCAAGTAGGAAGTTGGCTTTGAAAAGAGCAGAGGAACCTGGAATTAGACGACAGGCTTGCAGCGTGACCGTGGATGTGGTGGCTCTCCAGCCCGCATTTTCCAGCAAGAGTCCTGATTTCAAATATTTCATTCTGTTGGCTTTATAAACAATTCAAATGCCCTGGAAATTCCACCATGAACCATATTTTCTAAAATGTTTCTTAACTGATGAAAGCAGGACAGAAATCCTTTGTTAGACTCTGTTGCCCCAGTTTTGGTTTAGAAAATATATCACCATCTATGCAGAAAAGACTTTTTTTTTCTTCTTCTTTTTTAATGGTGGGGTTTAGAAAGGCAAACACAGTCCTATTTGGGACATACCAATTTAGAAAAAGCTGACCCAGTATCCCAGATCTCTGTGGAAATCCAGGCCTTCTTCCTCTTAGCTATTCATCCAAGTGTGTGTACAGACATCCAGTCAGTTCCCCCTCACAGTCTACTGGGCAGGGGGCATAACTGTGTCAGCCAATGATGACAGGGGCTCTGCCCTCAGAGACTTCACAGTCCATGAAGGGAGATGAAATATGGATACACACAGTGTTAAATACAAGTCAAAGGTGTGAGTGTATCAGAGGATATAGAATCACCCAACTGGGAAGATCTAGAAAGATTTTGATTCACTCCTCCTCACCAGATCCCACACAGCATCACTTCCTCTGCATCCTGTTGATCGGAGCAAGTCCCTAGACCAGCCCAGAGTGAGGATCCACCTTGGGGTGAGGGGGGTGGAATGCGCATACAAGGATGTGCGGCTCTCTGTGCGTACAGTTTACCACTTTAAATTCAAAGAAGACACGTTTATTCATCTCACAGCTGGGACTGGCATCTCACCATTTCAGCACACAAGCACTTGGTCGCAGGTGAGGTCTGACTGTGCCCTCCTGCTTGTCTGAGCATGTGAGCTTCCCCCAGCCACTCACAATGGGCACAGTCATCTCCTCTCTCATGCCCAACCCAGGATGAAGATGATTCCTGCAAAGTTCACTTTGTGAGTGATTCTGCAAGGCAGAAGTGGTCATCTAGTCTTCTGATCAGTCCCTCTCCCCTCCCCTTTCACTAACTTTGCTCTTTACCAGTTCCTTGCCCATGGCATCCACCATTCTCACCCAGGTTCCTACCTCTCTCTTGTTCCAGGAACTAAAACAGGGGTAGATATTAGCGATGGTACCTGTGAGCCCAGACCGGCCTCCCCAGCCTCCTACATGAACCCCTTCCCGGTGCTCCATCTCGTCGAGGACTTGAGGCTGGCCTTGGAGATGCTGGAGCATCCTCAGGAGAGGGCAGCCCTCCTGAGCCAGATCCCGGGCCCCACAGCTGCCTACATAAAGGAGTGGTTCAAGGAGAGCTCGGTGAGTAGGCCCATGGCCTGGGTGGGGGAGCATAGTCATGGAGTCCATGGAATGCCATCAGGTTTATCCGAGGTGCCTAGCTCCTCCTCTTTAGGAGTCTGTTGATAGTCACATCTGCATGCCTCCCTCTGAACACTGATGAATTCTTTGTCATGATATGTGTTGTTCAATATTTTCATTACATAGGCTGTCAACCCAGGGTTCTGTAACATGTCCATGCCAGTGTGGTAGGCAGAATAATGATCTGAAGATGCTTACATCCTGATTGCCAGAACCTGTGAATAAGTTTCCATACATGGTGGAAGGGAAGGAATCAGGTGGAATTAAGGTTGCTAATCAGCTGAATTTAAAGTGGGCAGAGTGGCCTGAGTTATCCAGGTGGGCCCAGTGTAATCACTGGCGTCCTTGTAAGAGGAAGGGGAGGCAGAAGAGTCAGTGTTGGAGTGATGGGATGGGCGAAGGACTCGTCTCCTCCCCCCCCCGCCCCCCAACTGCTGCTGGCTCTGAAGGTGGAAGGGCCAAGAACCAGGGAATACAGGCAGCAACCAGGAGCTGGAAAACTGGCCTCTCCTCTAGAAAGGAAAGCAGTCTTACCCACAGCTTAATTTTAGCCCAGTAAGAACCATTTCAGACTTCTGACCTCCAGAATGGTAAGATCATGAATTTGTGTCATTGCAAGTCACTAAGTTTGTGGTAATTTGTTAGAGCAGCAACCGAGATTGCCCACAGAGGAAGGTGAAGGCTCCTGGGTTGGGTGGGTCTTGGGTGGGCCTGTTACAGTTCTGGTTTGCAGACCAGCTTCTCATCCCTCCCCGACATGAAGGTGGTTCTTGGTGGTCCTCTCAGACTGATGATAGAAGTCCCCACCTGCTTCTCCACAGCTCTTTTTATTTATTTATTTGCTTCTTTATTTTTGGCTGTGTTGCTTCGTGCGGGCTTTCTCTAGTTGTGGTGGTGGGGACTAGGGCTACTCTCTAGTTGTGTGTGGGGGCTTCTCATTGCAGTGGTTTCTCTTATGGAGCACGGGCTCCAGAGCGTGTGGGATCAATACTTTTGTCTTGAAGGTTCTAGAGTAAGGGCTCAGTAGTTGTGGCTCACGGGCTTAGTTGCCCTGTGGCACATGGGATCTTCCCAGACAAGGGATCAAACCCGTGCACTGGACTACTGGGGAAGCCCTCCACGTGCTCTTTTAACTAGGTTGGAAATTGCCGGGGAATGGCTTAGGTAGGTTAGTCCTCTTTTTCCCCAGCAGAGGATCCCCTTTGCCTCCCTAGAGAGGCCCTCTCTGTCTGTTACTGTGTTTGCTTTATGATGCTTTTCCTGGCTTCTGCCCTGTCATGTCTGACCATCTTCTGCTCACCTCTGTGCGGCTGCGACTCTCTAGTTCACTTTATGCCTGGCATGGGCATCTATCCCTCCTTCCAGTCCTGCTAGTACTGATTCAGGCTGCAGTGTTTGCAGAAAATTTTATGAAGCCTCAAGAAAATGATATAGGTTCATAATTCATCAGCCTGGAATCCTTGGGTCTAGATGCTTTTTAGAGATTATTAAACTTTAGAAAGGTGAGATGGTGCACATGTATTGTATAATATGTACCATTTCTAGCCAGTGCAGGGCAGGAAACACTGAACATTTCTTCAGCAAAACTTGTGAATATCTGCATGAAGCAGGATAAAGACAGACTACCAATACATAATGTTCAGTGACTATGTTTATCTTGCACAGATGTGCCAGAATTTATGTAGCCATTCCTCTAATATTGAATTGAGATATTTTTTAATCTTTCACTAATAACGTGGCATTGCTGTAGAGACTGTCTTTGTCTAGAAATATTTATCTCTAAATATGTTCTTCAGATGGACTCGTGAAAGTAGAATAATAGTTAAAGCAGGCTTAACAGATAAAATGCAGAATGTTCTGTTAAGTTAGAATTTTAGATAAACAATATTTTTTAATAAGTGTGTTTCGTGCAGTTTGCTAAGTCTGGCAAACTCTGATCAAAGGTATTAATATCTTTAAGCCTTGTGACACATTTTTTCCAAACCGCTTTTCAGAAAGATTTTGCCCATTTCTATTTTCTTTGGCAGGGCTTGAGGTACATCCTGATCAACAAGCACTAAGATTGAGAAAACAGCTAATTTCAGAGGAAAAAGTTTCATTTTATCTTTCCATTTCTTTGTTTAGTAGAAAGGTGGAATTTTAAAATAAGCTTATTAATATTTATTCTTCTGTATGGTTTCCAAACTTTTGATCTCATACCCCAATATGAAAAAAAATTTATTCTCCAAATATACATATTCATGTATGGAGAATTGTCCTAATGTATGTAAGTTATAAAACATAGTCCCAGATAGAAGATCTTTTTAAAAGACCGGTTAAGAAAATAGTTTTAATATTTTCTTCACATACACAACCCAGTGATTATTTTGAGTGCCTTGGCTGTGCCTGCTGTAGTCTGATCTGTTAGCATCTGTATTCTTGCCTCCCTGACCCTATTTGGGTTTTAGTGCTCTTCTTATATTTAATGACTTTTTACTAGCTCTTTGCTTTGTGGTGTTCCTTTTCCTCACTTTTGTTTTTAAATATTGTTTATGGTGAGGGTTTTTTTTTTAATTATAAAAGAATTGTAATTTTATCAGTCTTTCCTGTTTGAGATTCTTTTCTTTCTAGAAAGGCCCTACCTGACCTCAGATCAAATAATATTCACCTGTATACTGTCTCCAGTAGGTTTATAGTTTGATTTGTATTCATCTGCAGTCTTTTTAGTGTGTGGTATGAAATAAGGATCTAACTTTTATAATTTACCAAAAGAGATCCTTAAAAGCTATTTTGGATCTAAAAGCAGTCATGGTGGTGGTTGGTTTTACAAGATCCATTCCAGAAAACAGCTTGCGTTCAGATTTGCAGATCTGTTTTGGTGGCTGTTTACAACAGTTGGGGAAATGCTTGCCTTGGGATAGATGTTTCTAAAAGTTGTTGCATTCATAAATCTTCTGGAGTAATTATGGCCATCAGCAACCTATGAGTGGTGTACTTTGAGGGGGGCGGTCAAAAGTTCATATAAACATTCCAAGATACCAGGGTTGGTTGTTAAGGTTTTGATTCTGGACAGAGACCACCTGTGTGTATTTTCATTTTCCCAGATTTAAAGTCATTTTACAATCTGGTGCACACAGAGTCCATAGCAGGTCTTATCTGTATGGAAATAGAATTCAAGGCAGTGAACAAACCCACAGCTCTTTAGATTAATTTTAGATTGCCTTAGCTTGGTACTTTTATTTATTTATTTCTGGCTGCGCTGGGTCTTTGTTGTTGTGTGTGGGCTTTTTCTAGTTGTGGTGAGGGGGGCTACTCTCTAGTTGCTATGAGTGGTCTTCTCATTGCGGTGGCTTCTCTCTTTGTGGAGCTGGGCTCGGTAGTTGTGGGGCATGGGCTTAGCTGCCCTGTGGCATATGGAATCTTCCCAGACCAGGGATCAAACCCTTGTCACCTGCATTGGTGGGCAGATTCTTAACCACTGGACCACCAGGGAAGTCTAGATTGGTACTTTTAATTAGAAGGTATTGCTATTCAAATTGTAGTCTATGGACCAGCAGCTTTGGCATCCCCTGATAGCTTGTCTTAAAGAAAAAAAAAGTTAGACTTTGCCTCTCCCCTTTCCAATCCACTGAACCATTTCCAGGTGATTCATATTCACTTTGAAGTTTGTAAAACACTGCCTTAAACCACAGAGACTCACGTGAATTATTACCCACCCCCCCAAAAAAAAACACACAAAAACACATGTGACTCAGAATTGGAACTAATAAGATAGCTTGAAGCCAAGCTTGTGCCTTCTCATTTCTCTTTCATGCTATCTGTGCATCCCTTAGATGTTTGCACTGTTCTTTTTCATCATAAACCTCACTTGTCATAATCTGGCCTAGCGTGACCTGGCCCTGCCTCATGACATCTATCAGTAGGGATTCTTTCTCAATAAAATACAAACAGTAAGGAGGTTTATATGTCACTAATGTTATATGTTATGTTACTAACATATAACTAATATATATGTAATGAACATATAACTAATAATACATGTATTAGTTATATGTAACTAATATATGTCCAGGGGATGGGTGGTCCCAGGACCATTAAATCACCCGTTAAATCAGTGGCTCTGGGATGACCTCAAAGACACTGACTTTTCTTACCTTTCTCCCTCCCCATCCTCAGGGGTTGGTATTTCCTCAGGCATGTCCCCTAACACAGAGGTCCCCAACCTCCAGGCTGTAGACCAGTACTTCCTGTCAGATCAGCAGCAGCATTAGGTTAGAAATAAAGGGCACATAAAGGTAATGAGCTTGAATCATTCTGAAACCGTTCACCCCACCCCCACCCATGGAAAAATTGTCTTCCATGAAATTGGTCCCTGGTGCTAAAAAGGTTGGGGTACTGCTGCCCTAAGAAGTAGGGCAAGTTGCAAGAAGGCTACTTGCAGCTCTGGGCAACCTCCCTTCACACAGATACAGTTGTGTCTAGAGGTAGAACTTGTCCTCTTCTTATAAACTGGGGAGGAAAACGTCTGTCTGAAACCTCCCAGCAGCTTCCCATATGGTCCCAGTGGTCACGATTTGTTTGCATGTGCATACCCTAGCTGCAAGGGAGGCTGGCACTCTCATCACAGTGGAGGGGAACCTCTGTCAGCGAGGAACCAAAAAGTGGGGGAAACGAATGGCCCTTAGGAAGATAGCTCACAGTGACTGCCACACATCCTTTAGGTTTGATGTTAGTCGTCTTGTTGACTGACAAGTTCATGTTTTCTGTGTATGTGTGTTAACCCCCGAAGGAGAGAATCTCGTTGACCTAATTCAGAATTTTTGGACTAAGTCCTCCAAGTGTATGAAGAAATGTTAAATGCAAAAGAAATAAAAATTAAAGACATTTTCACTTATGCTCAGCTATGGATTAGCTGCCTTTGGGTCAAGTGTCCACCCCAGGGCAAATAATTAGCTGTGGTG